ACTGGATTAGGAAGGAGTTTAAACTCTCCATCTTTATGTAGAGAGGCTGAAAGACAGGGGAGGATGGTGGCTCCTCACCAACAAGTGGCCCCTCCATCAGTGTACATCTCTTTCTAGTCATTGCAATAACCTTACATGCCATTTGTCTACTTATCCTTAGCTATTTGCTACAATTCTCAATTGTTGTGCTGTTTGCAGTTTGGATATATTTTAGATTAAGGGGTTGGACTTCAAATGTGCAGTCCAGAAATTAGCTCCTACTCTCATTTTACATTTGTCTCTTCATTTGACACTGGAATGTTTGCTGAATATACAAACAGCTGAGAGCCAAGTTTGCATACAACAGAACAGTATCCACACAAGAACAACTCACAATATTCCTTTGTTTATGTTTTAGAAATTGTTCGAACCAAATCCATGGTGGGGTTTGATCTAGTAATTATGTAGGCTGCAAATGAACATATATTGCAGGCAGGAATGAATATTACATCTTTTGAATCAAGATACTTCAAATTCATACTTATTCTGTCACATTAGACAGCTCCTTAGTGGCACCTAGAAAAGATCTAGCTTAAAAAATGCAATCTCCAGCAGCTTTTGTTTTCCTTTTCTCCTTCTTTCCTTCTCTCTGGCTCCTGAGAGCCACACAGCGGATGGGTTTTCAGCCTCAAAGCTCCCAGCTGCTCTCTGCTGTGCAGCATCTGGGCAGACTCGCCTGCCTGATCCAGGAGCCCAGGCTGCCCGGTGGTTAGCCACACCAACGCTTTCACCTGCCTGCGTGCTGAAGTCTCACCAGACTTTTAAGCGGCTCTAAACAAGCGGTAACATCAGACCACACACTCAATAGTACTGGACAGCCAGGAGGTAGGGAGTATATTTAAAGTGTGTGTGTTTCGGTGTGTTTCTGTGTGTGTGTGTGTGTGTGTGTGTGTGTGTGTGTGTGTGTGTGTGTGTGTGTGCGTGTTGAATTTCTACACACTCTACCAGGATAACATTTAGAAGAAAGCTGCTCTTCCCTCCGTTTTCTTTTAATCCTGCATTTAGCTTCTTTTTTTAAAATCTTTTTCCACCAACTTAACATATCACTATGTGTTCTGTTACCTTTTCATTTGCACCTGGATGGGTGGGATTGTCTAGTTTTTCAAGAGAAACATTTATGCCACACAGTGTGATTTTAAGATGTGACTTTAATGGGCTTTAGACACTGTTTGCATCCAGTGGTTTGATTTGTAATGCCGCAGATTTACAGTCTGCAGCGAGAGCAGCGGACTGTTTATGCCACTGGTCAGCACACTGCAGCTTATTGACTTCTGTGGTTCATGCATTGCATGTCTTCCAGGCTACTTTTAGATTTTATGTTTCAGGGAAAATACTAATTAGCCAGCATGGTCACGCAACATGCTGGGAGTTTTTTTTTTTTTTTTTAGAAGTAAATACCGGTTTTATGTACTTTATAGTGTACATAAACAGGTTTTCTGAGAAGATATTCTACCATAGGAGAGATTTGATTCAGTTTCTTGTGCATCCTCATAAGCAGGTTTCTTCTTTCTTGATTTATCATTTGCATGATTTTGTTTTTGAACACACTTTAAGTTATGTACACCTATTGTTTGTCTCTTTCTGAACTGTTGCTGCAACAAACATCTGACACTACTTGAGCATGCATACAAGGGACATATTTGTTGACACAACTGCCATTTCACTTCTTAAGCTTAGTGATTTATTTTTCTTCAAAATCTGTGAGGGCTGCAAATGTAAAAAATGTTGTTTCCTTTTTAAATAAAGAAGAGGATAATGTAATGTGTATGCAGTTTATTATGCAGTTTATTTTTAAATCGTATATCTCGCTTTAATTAGTATTTTCCATATATCTTTACATACTTCATAGCTTGGTTTTTTTTTGTTGTTTTTTTTTAGTGTAATTGTAATGTAGGTACACGTAGGGCTACTACAAGGCACTTACTACACTTTTAATCACATAGAAATACTTTAGATTGTTTCTGCTTTTTTTCAATTCAGCTCAATTACTGCGGAGTTTATTCGGGGATAATCAAGGATTTTCCTGTCCTTTTAAAACGAATACTGCACAGCTAATTTAATTCCCAGCCCTCAAAATTGGAATACATTTACCTTGTTGCACAGTTTTAAATGTGCTTTTACTGTACGAACGTTTTCATGCCGTGCCTGGTCATTGATCCACGTAACTGGGCATAGCAGCTGAACTTTAACCCAGCCTACACAAGGCCGATTTATTTTAGACCGCTTGTATACATGAAAATAATTGTTTTTCTTTTGTAAATGGTGTCACAGGAGGATCTAACTCAGTGCGCTATATACCTTCATAAAATAAACTATTTATTTATCTTTTTCTTTTTAGTACCATTGTATTATAGTTTTTATATTTCTAAACATGTTATACAATCGTCACATTAAAATATCGATTCAATATACTTGTATATGGCTAGAAATGGTTTTTAAAAATAAGACAAATCTTGTCCATTCGGTGACACGTTGCTCTGGCAAAAAGTGTCTCCTTGCTCGCGTTTCAATTACGACATATTTGCGCATACCTTTAGTTTCAATTATGTTTCTTTATTTAATTTGTGTGACGCACCATCAAAGCGTCTCTTGTTGCAGACTGCCAGTTAATTATAGTAAGATGCTTTCATGCAGCACCTCTACATCGACGTCATCTGTTTCTGAAGGTTGTCTGTGTTTAAAATGATCAAACGTTGGATTAGGGTTTTTTGAAATGATGTTGTTTTTTATTGTTGTTGGTTTTTAGCCCTCTTGTTCTTGAGGCTTAAATCACTTTCCACGTGGTATTTTCCTCTTTAATGGTGAGTTTCATTAATAAAGTATCTTCGTTTTCTTTTATGAAAATAAACTATATTTTGTGTTTCAAATTACACATGACGTAAAGTAGGTTAGAGCCTACGACAGCAGCAATATTAGGGCGTTAACTGATAGTTGAAAATCTATTTGGATTCATCTTTACCATGCTGACACTATGGTGAAGGTTTAAACTGTATTACATTGAAGATAATACGTCATATTGTCTTAACTCTTGACACATTATAGCCTACTATCTCATTGTACATAAATTGACACAAAATGCATGTCCTTGATGTGACTCATATTTGTTGATGGTTATCCTGTGTTTTCAGTTTTTAATCTCTGATTTTCTAACAAACATGAGGTGTTTGTTGGTTATCATGCAAAAACGCTGCAATACATCATAGCTATAACCAATAATCACACGTGATCAAGGATCTGGGGCCTATATTTCAGTCATTTGTAAACTCTGAAAATGACATTAGTGCAACATAGGAGTGCTCTGTTATCCAATTTCTGCGAAGCCTTCATTATTTGTGTTGATACAGTAACGAGAGCCATGCCATTCGGAAGTCCTTCAGAGCTCGTGTGCAGCTGTGCGTGGGTGTGTGTAAAAGAAAGGAACGTTTCCTTATACCTTACAAACTCAGCAAAATATTAAGAAACTTTGTACAATTTAACGTGACAATGATTTCATATGCAAAGCTTGGTTTAGCTCTCAGCACCTTGATGTCTGTCCAACATTTGCAATAGTCTAAAACATTTTCAAAGAGAGTTGTGCTGATCTCCTAATTTGACAAGCTTCATGCAGTATTTATCATGCGTTTTAAAACGTTCTTTTGCTACCTGGGATAATTATTTCGGACACAATTTAAAAAACATAATACAAAAGTTATTTGAACGTAATTTAACCAATTTTCTCCACCTGCTTTTAAGACCATGCTCATTAATGCTAAATGTTTATCATGTCTACCCAAGAAGTATTAGTATTGACAGCTTGCTAAAGGACAAACATCCGACTCATGCTGTATCTGTATCACACCGGAGGATGGGGACAATTGGCTATGTACCAGTGCGTAATGAGATAACAGCCAGAAATACAAATGCGACTTTTATGCGCAAACTACAACAAATGTCATTTTTAGCAAGTCGTATGTTGTTACACTGCTTTTGACTTTTTCTTCAGTAAAATATGCTTGTTATAGTCTTTTGTTTCCAATAAATGGAAAACCTCACCGCAAGCATATAAGCTCCATCCACTAAAAGGACTGAAGAACAGCCGTGATAAAGACGAAATGTGGGAAGGTAAAGTCTGATACCCTTTTCTACTCGTTTGCTTTGTATATCTTTGCGAGTCACATATATATAGCTATATGTGTCTGCTGGTCTAGCAGGCCCTTTCAACGCAAACCTGCTCTATACGTTTTGCTGAGATCTTACATCTCAGAATCTGAAGTCCTGTGCAACGGTCGGCGGTATGCAGACCAAACCTGTGTGAAGCCACAGGCCTAATCCCTGACAGGCCTTTCTGTGAAGCTAAATATATCCAATTGCCTTCTATTTGCGTATTTTTAGCCTAATACGTGCAATATGTGCTGCGCCTTGTCGTGTGCAGGGTAATTGCATAAGCTTCATTCATAACATTCAGACACAAACTGATGGGGCAAGCGGTCCGTTAATTGTTAATGGCCCGGACACTCATATAACTGCAGGCTAAAACACAAATGGTCTGTCTATTAATGTATTGTAATCATACCTTTCACTATCAGCATGTTGATCTGAAATGTCTGATGATGCATCTATTAAACTATGATGATGCATAATAAATTAATATCTGCCCTGAGGTTATGACTAAAGAAGAAGAGGTTGTGCGTAATGGCGCACGAAGGAGCAAATATCAAATGGAATCCTATCAGACAGGGATTATGGAAAGCTTCAGGAGAGAAACTGGGGTGATGGTCTGGAAGGAATTATTAGTTGGTGTATAAACCAATGCTTTTCCTGCACAGACTGATCCATCACCCCCAACCCCCCGGGTTTACGTCGCGGACTCTGCTTCCGCTTCGCACGGTTGGTCATTGATGCGCAGTGGCGGGTTGGAGAGGGATCGCGCGCAAGAGAGAGAGTGAAACGTAGAATTGACCAGGCATAGACTGAGAGAGAGAGGAGGGGAGAAGGAGGAGACGGACCTGCTCCTCTGGGACTCGGATACAGTTTACTGCTATAGGTGCTATCACCGGACTCGACTCACAAAACGGTCTTCAGCTGTAAAATGCAAGATTAGGCACCGAGCAGCGCCTTGTAGCTGTCAACGAGCATATCCACGGTCACGGCTCCGCTTGTTGGATTTACAGTGAGAGGGGTAAAAAGAAGGATTCATGGAGATTCCGTGTAGTTTAATCGAGCAAAACGGCTGGATTATCTGATTTGGGACGGGGCATTGAACATTTTAAAAACGAACACGGTGTTTCTCTGTTTGGCCACCGCCGTGTCCAACTCTATAGCCAACGACGTGTTTTTGTTTTTAGGTAAGATCCCGCTCCTGTTCGGCTACGTGTATTCATTGCTGGTGTAATTCGTCGTAGTACAGGCTACTCTATGTTGGAGTAATCGCTGCCCTGTGCAGAGATTACACCGTGTGGGTTAGAGGATTGTTCTGGACATCACCATGTCTCGATGTAACAATAACGCTGATGTCTTTGTCTGGGGAACATGAATAAGAAATAAGGGTTCCTCAAAGAGAGGGGCGGGGGGCTGCTTCAATGTGCAAACTTAATTTCCAAAAAAAAGTGAAATAAATTAGCAATAACACTTTTAGTGTAAGGAATACTATTGTTTTTTTCTCAAATAATATATTGCCATGTTAATTTCCAATTCAAATGGCCTATGTATGATATTGTCAAAAGTCACAAAAGCTACAGTTTATTTAATATAGTTTTGATATCATAAATTACTTTGCTTAGGAAAACGTTCAGTTTAAGAACAAATTGTTTAACGTTATGTTTGGAATGTTATCTTTTATTACTGTAAGTCGTTTTAGATTTCAAATGCTGTAGCCTGTATAGCAAACATAACTTCCAAGAATAAGAATAACTTTGTGTTTCCATAAAGAGACAAAATAAAGCTTATATGTGTGTGTCTGTATGCATTAACTTATTTAAATCACTCTTACAAGGTTAATAGGTCCACTCTCACACTGACACCTCTGCTTGGGTCTTACAGCTGGGACAGTAGTTTTCGGAGCTCCGGTCATGGCGGACCAAGAGGAGACTTTTCCCATTCAAAGCTCTCCGGGTGGCTCGGATTCGAGAGAATTACGGACTGAAAATAAATCCGAGAAACCGAACGGGACCTCAAGCAAATCCCCGTCATCACAGACAACTTACATTCAGCAGGTCAGTTTCACTCAGTCTGCAGGCCTCACTGTCACTGATTAAAAATAAAGGTGTAAACTTAATTGTGTGAACAAGTAGCCAACCATATTGTCGTTTTGGGAGCAAAAATACAGACGAATAGTTACTTAAAATGTCTACTAATGGAATGGAGTAAGTCAATTAATCAAGTTAGTATATCATATTTAGTGTTTATTACAGAAGTGGACTCAATGCCCTGCTCGAATAATTATTTCTAGAAAATGCATTTGAGAAGTGAAATATCAGAAACGTTTCAGAGCAACTTTGGCTTGTTTTTTTATTATTATTAAATCGTATGAGTGTTCATGAGACGGTTTATAAATGATGTTATACAATATGTTAATTGTCAGACATTATTGCTGGCATTATTATACTACTGTAAGTTTAATGTGAATGCTAAAGACTATCTGGTCAGATAACACATCTTAACTTACCCAATTGTTCAATGTTTGAGTTTAAATGCAGTTTTCTTCTTTATGTGTCTTGATTATGTGGGTTTTGACTTGAATCTAACATATGATCAGCTATAAAAATGTGATTTTAACAACAGGCTATTTGACCAACTCTGAAGGCCTCAAACCCATGTTTGGCACCTCTGCGTAAACATTGAACTAGTTTGATAACATCAATCCTGTGCGCACTTTCGGCAATTGCCAATACTATACTTTATTTTTGAAGGGAATGGAAGGAATAAAAGTCTACCTGCACGAGAGGGAACTCTGGGTGAAGTTTGACGAAGTGGGGACGGAGATGATCATCACCAAAGCCGGAAGGTAAGAGGACAATATGACTAATATGTATCATTATTTTTGACAGGAAGCCACTTTTCAAAACAAAAGGAATATTGACTGGATGTCTATATATTTGTTGATAAGGCTTACTGTATTTGTATTTTATATTAACTAAACCTAGGATTAAAATGTATGCCCGTCTGGATTTTTCTGCATGGGGATTTGAAAACATTCACGAGGAACCAAAGAGAAAACAAAGAGCATCTGGTGGATGCTTTAGCTCTCTGTAACATCAGCGCATAGCCTACATTTTAGTCTGGGTGGCCCTATGGGGAAATACAATACCATCGACCAATCAGTCTGGAGAGCAGAAAGACAAAACTGTCCTAGAATGCTTAGTCTGCGCCTGTTTTGCTGAGCCATTTTATTTTATTTAGTGGAATTAACATATTTTATCAGCATGGGTCTTGTCTTATCCAATGACAATTGTTGTGTGTGTAATTGTACGCAGACACTATGCGTGACAACACTGTTGCTGCAACATAGTGTGCAGGGACAACATGTGTCCCGCTGTCAGCTCCACAGTTGCCCTCAGACTAACATCCAGTCAAAATATCGCTCATCCGCGGAGTGTGATCCTGCATTTATGCATGAGTATCAAAGTGGGCGCTGGCTCTCGGGTATGCCTATTACAAATGATGAATATGTATAGTTTAACATGGCTACATTTCATTGTGCTCTCCAGAACGCATTTGTTTTCACACAGCTGCACAAAGTCTCCATTATATTCCCGTCAGTCATTTCTCTCCTGTTTTTGGCGTGAAGTGATATTGCACAGCAGCTTCTCATTCGCCCGCAGCCCTTCCCTTCGGCTCATGAGACTGCTCAGCCTAACTCACATTATGTGTTTTTTTAATATGACAGCTACCAAATATCCGAATGATTTACTAAATGGATCTTGCAAAAGAAAAAATATCTGGCCCACAGGGAAAAACGTTTTATAACGCGCAGGTTTTTCTCTGAACCAATGCCCTGCTTTGAAAAAAAATGGTGACCTTTCCCAAACCAAATCAAGGCATTTATTTGTCATTTTAAACCTTCTTCCTGCATGGGCTGGTTGTACATTTTAATTTAGTTTGCACTTTGGAATAATGAAACACACTTCATATGCTTTATTCTGAAAAAAGAAACACAATTTGCTTTCGTTCTCAGTTTGTAATGTAGGCTACTTCTGCCCGCCAAACATTTTTTTAATGGCTACTGAAGAGGAACAAAAATGTTGCCTGCATGTTTCTTTCATTTCCTGCTTTGACATAAATACCATAGCGACACAAACTTTATTTTTTCCTTTACAGGCGAATGTTCCCCAGCTTCAAAGTGAAGGTCGCGGGATTAAATCCCAAAACGAAATATATACTCCTGATGGATGTTGTTCCTGCGGACGACCATCGATACAAATTCGCCGACAATAAATGGTATGTAAAGTATAACACGAAATATTGCAATAACAAACGTTTCTTATAGTCGTGCACGTCATTTCACAATAATGGGGGTTGTTCTTTTGGGGAGTTAATTCCAACAGGAACTTTTATATTGTTTTCCTGATGGATGAGGATCGGAAGTGAACATATTAATTCCCTGAGAATTATGAACTGTGTGTTTTCTAATACCTGCCAAGAAACTTTTCTGCAGGGAAAAAAAGTTCCTCGAGGTACTTTTTAATGATGTTGATGACTTTTCCTACCAGCCCTTATGCACTGCAACAAGGCTGTATTTCACTGTGGGGCATAAACATGCTATTTGTTTAGTGTCATGTCGATCTCTCTAACCTTGGTCAGGAATGCCTTGTTTGGGTCAGTGCCTCTCAATGAGGGGATACTTAAAGAGGATAATCACATGACAATACTGCCGATAATGACCTGTTCAACGCATGTCCTGGAACTAATTCTCCTCTTGATCTAATGATGTTGGAAAACAATGTCTACCAGCTCTAATCTGACCTCTGACCATACAAAACCAACTTCCCCAAGTATTTGGACATTATATAATTATACGTTGATCTATTTAAGTTGAAGGAGCCTTAATGAAAAGTGTTGAGGTAAACAACCTGACGCTTAAAGCAAGTGCGTAAATATATTGGATGTGCGTAAATGTCCTTATCCCTTATGGGTTAGCAGCATTGTCCTACTGATGTGTCCTTTTTTAAATCGCTTTATGTAATATTTGCTTTGAAATGCATTAAATTCAGATGTCATTTTGCAAAATTGTTGACATTTGGACAGTGTGGTTAAATGATGTGAAAGGGTGTCTAATTTACATGTTAAACTTAACGCATCGCTGATAGATGGCATATGGTTGTCAGCTTGATGTGTAACGGTGTGTGTGGCTGTTCAGGTCTGTGACCGGGAAGGCAGAGCCCGCGATGCCCGGCAGGCTATACGTCCACCCGGACTCTCCCGCCACGGGCGCGCACTGGATGAGGCAGCTCGTGTCCTTCCAGAAGCTGAAGCTGACCAACAACCACCTGGACCCGTTCGGACACGTAGGTGCCTAGGCCTATCATATATATTATTTAACCACATGTCTCTGAATGCTAATGGTGGCGTTTTTCCGTCCATTATATTGCACTTGGTGCGTAAAGTGGCACTTCAGCAAGGAGGATTTTTACTGGAAGTTGTACATTTTGTATTCATTTTTACAACAAAAGTTCTGCTTTCCACAGCTGAGATTTGAAGGATGACTGTTCACCTTTAATTTTAAAACTTTTAAAAATCCCCCAAATATGGCAAAATCAGACTCACATAGCTTAATCTGAACAAATATTTTATGGAGCGCAATTTGAGACTATTTCATAATAATTACAACTTTTTAATTGATGTTATAGTTATTCTAATTATTGTTTGTGTTTTACATTTTAAACTTAGTTTTTAGGGTTAGTTTTTAGGTTTTATGCTTGTATTTTCTTTTGTTAGTTTTCTTTGCCTGCCAAATACGCAGATATTACGATTTTAAAGATCATGATTTACAAAACAAAGTTGAAAAAAAGTACAACTTCCCCCCTCCAACCTGCTTGTGAAAACAGTGATGTGCATGATTAGGCACCATAAAGGCTGAATGTTGTCTGTTAAATTCACATTAACATTTTAACAGACCGAGATGTCAGTCACACCTCCACTTCTCCAGACAGCAGCAGCCTCCTATAAACTCACTGAAGCTGTGAAGTTTGGGTTTACTTTTTACTTTCTCCTTTTCATTGCTTGCTCTCTCAAATGTTAACTGCCAAACCTTTATTCTAAAATGCTATGTATTTGTAAAGCATGATCAAACCAAGCCGGTGGACAAAAGTTTACTTGACTTAAAAAAATATATAAACCTTTTTTTACTATGGCTAAAGATTTCGGGTTTTTTTTTATCTCAAAAACTGTTGAGTGACAGTAATAAATAAACTATTTATTTTTACTAATTTCTTTTGACTGAAAACACCATTAAACCCAAAGAAAATGTATAAAAAAAGACAATATTGATTAAGCTGCAATAACATTTTTAAATGAAATAACCTTAGTTTAAAGAATAATAAAATGTGTTTTTCTATTGGAGAACAAGAAGTTACTTTAACCCACATATACAAGTCAATGTGAATCATACATTTAAATAACACATGTGTAAATTACTCACTATGCATTTCACTGGCCCTTATAATGAATTTATTGAAATATATATAGTTTTCTGAGAAAACTGCAATGTGTAATTCCCAACACAGAACATCTTTTTAATTTAAACTCTTTACTATTGTTGGTGGTAAATTAGAACATATTTGGCTCCAGTGTCCTCTACTTTGCATTGCCAGGGTTTATTATAGCACCCCCATAGATGCATTAAAGTTGTAGACCTCCTGGAACTTAGTGAGCTTACATAAGTAGAGGGGAGCAGCTGGGCCTATTTTTTAAGAAAAAGGAAAGGAGCAATTGCACCCCCACCCACCGGCTCTGCACTATAGGGACTGTATGGTACCCATTTCCTAACTTTAACTCCTCATTATTCTACGCTCACTATCTGGCCTCAGGCTTCTGTGATTCTTGTCTTACCAAAAACAAGAACATCACTTACTTCATAAACATGTTGGCGTCAGGTTTTCATAAAATCCTAACTGAGGCCAAATTAGATGTCTTATTGTAGGAATGGAAAAGTACCACAATTAGCTCTCTGACTAATAGGCCCAAAGGAAAAACAATAATGAGGCTGGCATAGGTTACATCAATAGCTTCTCTGGTATTAAGTAGGTAGGTAAAAAGTATGTGGAAAAACACAAGAAATTGAATTAAAGTTTAGAAGTTATTGAAAGTCTTAATGTCAATCAGAGGTGTTTAACTGAGTACGGTTCAAAGCTTGAGTCAGCGAAAGGGGAAAAGGTGCTTTTTTTGTTGCTTACCAAAAATATGTCATTAAGAGGCAACATTAAAACATTTAGTCCTATTTAGTGATGTTTAATTTATTCCATCCATCACTCCTGAACGCAGATTGAGGGACTCAGATGGAAGTCTAAAATAAGACTGCATAAGTATTTCTATACACACAAACCACTATCTATCCACATGGCACCTACAGTAGTGGTTTCTGCCTTGCCAAAGCCCAGCTGGTGAAATGAAACTGGAGCTCGGTAGGAATGTGAGCAGTGTTGTACATTTTGGGTTAAAGTGCATTTTTGATTGGTTGCAGTGGTTCCTGGCTCACCCTCTTTCGTGCTGGGAGACAGCACCCTGGGATTCATAAATGAAACTCTGGTGGCTGGCCAGAAATGTATCCCATCGGCTTGTTGGTCCAGCTGGTTGAAATAACTTGTGGATGATTTATAATTACTAGCAGTGAGACATGAGACCAGAAGATATCGCTGATATCTTTAAAATGAGCCTGAAACGCTTTCTCTTAAGACCAGGATTGTGCTGAAGGAGAGATGCTAGTGTGTCATTGTGCAGCTTTTAAAAGAATGGCTGGGTACACTGTTAATATGTTTTAATATGTTCACATTATATCAGACATTTTAATGAGACACTGGTGTATGGAAAGTAACTGAGCTTTTTCTACCTTAGTGTTTACATATTAAGCCATTTTATACTTTTACAACATGATATTTCATCAAGACATTAACCAACCATAATGCAATACATTATTCATACAGCTCCAGTGTAGTGCTTCCATCTGCAACATTAAGGTGCTGCTTACTGAATAATGAATTTACTTTAGTTATACATTTTATACAATCAAAAGCTGAAATGAGCCATTCTACATAAGTAGTACTTTTATTTGTAATACGTAACCTCATTTGCTGTTGATACTTCTGTACTGTCACTCAAGTCAAACTTTAAATGCAGCACTTTTGCTTGTAATTAGTTATATTTACATTGTAGTATCTTTGGAAATGTCCTAAACCACCGCACTACTTTTTCTCCTCTAAGTGAATTCCTAAAAATTATTTGTTTTTGTCTCCGGCCTCATTCCAAGCTGCAGTTTTCTTCTTTGATCTCTCTCTCAACTCCTGGAATATTTCTCAGTGTTATTCATCTCCCCCCTCAATTCGCTCCTGCACTCGTCTCCCTGTCTTCCCACACATGTTTTGGCCAAGAGGGTGGAGTGTGAGGATTGCACTGTTTATATTTGAATGGCAGTGTGCGATGAGCAATAAATGATGGTGTACAAAGCCTGCTGATCCCGAGGCTCGGGGAAACTCTCTGATGTGGTGGGACTTGAAAGCAAAGGGCCACGGCTCGAGACCCAAAGTGATCCCTCACTATCATTAACTACTATCATCCAAAGGCTGGGGGGGGGGGTGTACAGGGACCAAGGCAGGGCAGCGGCTGGGCCGGGGAGACGAGGCGTGCGATGGGGCCCCAGTGGGTGGTCCCCCCCAACCCCCCCTTACTAACATACTGGACTTTGGGAACCCACAATCAGTGGACCATGCTATGTTCCATGGTTAAAAGTGTGTATTTAGATAGTTCCATGCAACTTCTAATGTCTCTCAGTGGCAGACATTTTTTAGCTCCCAAATCTCTTTAGTGAGGTGAATGACATGTTTGCAAAGATGGGATTGTTGTTGTGGCTTGTCCGACCCATGATGCATCTCTGGAGACCTCATGTAAGCCCTTAATGAATGCATGCATGGGAAAATATTTTGTTTAACCTACATTTTCTTTGCACCGTGTTCAAATGGTTTGGAAAAGCTCTTAAAGTAAGCATTAAAGCTTCTTTCACAAATCCAAACTGAGTGGTAGTGCTGCTTTATAGCTTGGACATGAGGATATTTGCATTATGACATGTCTTCACAACACAAGAACCAATAGTATCCCCCACTTAAATTAGGAAATCAAAACAGAGCTACCACAGACTTGGTTTTGGTTAAACTATTCTCACTTCTGCTCAAAGTAGGCAGCCCTAAACCCACTTTACTACAAATAGTTATATTGATGGTAAATCTTGCAAATGCTGAGTTTCCACCTGCAAGTCATCCACTCTTCTTATGTAACCAAAGTGACAGCTGATAGGGTCACTAACTTCCATTAAATCATCTTGCATCCTAAAGGTGAATGGCAGGCAGTTGAAGCCTTTTCACTGTCCTTTGCAAAAAACGATTGCACCATGAAATGAGATCACGTTCAACTGGACATTGATAATGCGTGACTGTTGTTTGTCTATGTAAGCCTCTACAGTTCACTTGGCTCTGAGAAAGGACTCGGGTTGTATCTGTTTAATACTATGGGATGCCCCCACAGGTACTGGAGGTCAGGGCAATCCCTTGTCTTCTCTCATGCTGGCAGTGAAAGGCAGGTACAAAAACAACCTTTAAGATAACAGATAAGAGGACTGCCTATGGGACAGAAAGGAGGGGGTAGATGGGTGTAAAGAAAAGAAGAGCCCTTTTTTTCAATTTGTAAATGTAAGTAGATCTGATGATGATAATAAAATACATTACTTTTCCCTAAGGTCCATGACCGTCAAAACGATTAAACTTAAGATCCACGGATGAGAGGGCCTCAAAAGAGAGGTTCAAGGCTCAAGTTCAGCTGGGCGGCGTCTTAATGTCGCCAAGCTAGCCATGGGTAGCAGTCATCACTTAGCATGTTGGTCAGATCAAGAGAGAGGACATGCTTATGTCGACCTATCACTCTCTTGGGAATGCTCCTTTTCTCCCAAAATGTTATAGTTGGAATATGTTTGGAATAACTATAAACATACTGAGTTTGGAGTTACATTGTTGTGTGGGTGGCTGGTAGAAAGAGGGTCAGAAGAAAGGGTTACATAAGCCTAAAGAAAATTAGATTGCATGGAGCCACATTTTATTTGAAATATTTATGAAAGCAATAAAACGTTATTTACATTTTGTTAGAGCACTACAAAATATTTTGTGTGACCTTTTAAATCAAAAGAAAGACACAAAGTACATGTAAACAGGTTTGATAAAAAACCCTAATCTTAATCTGATTTGTTAGAAATCTGTGAGATTAATGAAGTATGTTGTTTTAACAGAAGTTTCTGCCAAACCCCCCCCCCCCCCCCCCCCCCCCCCCCCCCCCCCTCAGATGTATAAATTCAGGCAAAAATGATGCCAATAAAACTGTTCAAATTGGGCATTAGTCAATATACTAATCCAATATCCTTTACCTTTCATATTGGATGTGTTATAATAATTAATTTGCAGAAACTGAAATGTATTGCAAAATGGAGAGCATTCTTGGCCTATAGGCTTTGTATTAGCAAATGTAGAAAACATAGCAACACATGAGCAATAATAACAGCTAACATCAAAGCAACAAAATTGAGGTTTTGATACATGCCAAAAAAGGGAGTTGGGGGCAAGTTTAAGGTTTTATTGGATGACAAACTCCTCCAAAACGTTACCCCTCAAGCAGCTCCAAATCCAATGTTAGACTATCTTCTGACATTTTGCTATTATGAAATGTAGTATCTAACGCTTAGCTGTACTATTTTCTTTTTCTTAGATCATACTAAATTCGATGCATAAGTATCAGCCGAGGATCCACATAGTGAAGGCGGATGAAAATAACGGTTTTGGTTCCAAAAACACGGCCTTCTGCACTCACGTCTTCCCGGAGACAGCCTTCATCGCGGTGACGTCCTATCAGAACCATAAGGTGAGTCCTGCACGTGCTCATTTATATTCTCTTTTACGTTTGTATTGAAGTCTTTGACATTGTAAATAGCAACTTTAAAATCGAGCTGTATTTTATAACGCGATTTAATTTTAACAATGTTTTAAACATAAACAACGCTGCAGAAATAAGCTACAAGTACACAAATGTCTTAATTCTTTAAAGAAAAAATATATAAATTACAAAATTAAAATAATAACATTTCACACATTGAATCCTGCTTGTTTTGAGTTGAATCTGTCGGTAAACTGGATCTGCTGATAGCGGGAGAGAAAATGAAAGGCGCTGTTCAGACGTTAAAGTAAAGCCTTTTCACTGTCAGCTGAAAACCTCTGATATCACATAGAGTCACTGACAGACGAGAGAAAAGCTCAGATACCCGACTAGACGACGTCTGACCTCAAGAGACTTGTTCCAGGTTCCAGGCCTGCAGCGCTTTGGAGAGCGAGACAAGCCGCAGATAAACCGGATAAACCCCAGTAGGCGACCTAATAAAACCCAATAACAAGAGGAACTGCAACAACCAATCATTATTATAATGATTATTAAAATCAGTTAAAGTATTTTTAAGGTAATCCAAATAAATAATAATGTGTAATGAAACCATGCTTGTTTGCAAAACTTTTTCTGAACTTTAAAATGTGAATTGGTTGTTTTGAGTCAGGGTAATAAATCGCGTTCATAAACTTAATAACCAAATTACTAAATGATCTTTAGTTATTATCGATGTATTCTATGTAAAAACGTTTACAAAAGAAAGTTTATTCTAAATAAACAGAAATGTTGATTTTAAACGGATGAAAAATATATGCTACAACACAACAGACAGTGCTGATGTATGAATTATAAGGCATGAGAAAAAGTTTTCGTAAAAATACATTTGTATTGAATGATTAATTATATATAATATAAATTATGACATATAATTTAGAATAGTTTCAAATATGTTTTCTTTATTTTTTCCGTTGAAGTTTTGGCCAGTTTACATTCCAGTAACATTAATTAAATATGTTAATAACTAATTGCATGAATTATAGCATTAACATTTATAATAAATATATTAATGTGACGCTATCATCGTTTGCTTGGGTGTGTAAAAGCTGAACATATATCGTTGTCTTTGTATTATTTTTTATTTAAAGCAAATCAAAATGTAGTAATAACTAAATACCTTTTTGAGGCCAGACAACTGTTGTTCGTCACTTTATTTACGACTTGAGGGGAAAAAGCAGAAATAAAACTCAATATTTACTCTGCTGGATTTCTGCGTGGAAACATCTTGGGAATACAGATGTGTGTAAACAGCGTCTGTTTAACATCATTTACCATATAGGCCTATATGTTCTAGTTTGGGGAATATGGGAGAGAGGGGCGAAAGCTAGTAATGTCCCCGCAGCCAATCGCAGGTCTCCGCGCTTCTGGGAACAGGAAGCCCAAATGACCGACATGCTGTAGAAGCCATTCATTATTTTCAAACATGTTATTGGGGGCTGAGATCGTAACCCCGGGCTAATTATTGGGGCTTTCCAGACCTGCAGGAAAACAAGAATTTCTGATTTGCAAGCACTTTAATCAAACAGTCTAACATCTGCCGGAGCAATATGTGCTGCAGGCATGTGTCCAATTCACCTGTTAGAATCTCAGCTAATGAAAATCCTCAAAGTGTCTGGTTTCAAGTATTTCCTGTCACTGCTGTGAAAAGGTCCCAAATGGGTTTTCTGAAATATGTTTTCCTTAAGAATAAAAAGAGAAAAATGTGTAGCTAATAACTCCATAGCTTATATTTACTTTAAATTCAATATATTTTTATTTTAGGTAAAGAAATTCTATATGCTTAAATAGCCAAAAGCATCTGGAAATATGTTTGTATGTTTTGGACAGTCTTGTAAAAAGGTGCACTCTTTGAAGTTTGAATTTCACCCAATTGTCTTTAGTGACTACCAAAATATTTTTTAAAGAATTCATATTTTGTTGGTCTTTGATTATTTCCAGAACCAGAGTGTGTTTTTGCAAAATCCATTTGTTTTCTCTCCAGTAAGCTGAACTCTGTATAACTTTGAAATGAGTAATTATTTGTCTTGTATTTCTTATTGGAATACCACAGAGGAAAAAATGCAAAAGCACTCTTTTTTTAGATCTCTATCTTTAAAAAGATGAAACAATATATAAATGCTCTTCCAGGCTGCATGCAATAACAAGAAGCTAGCAGAGTGTCACACGAGAGATTTTACGAGGTTTGGTGAGAGTGTCAGCCTGTGTGCAGACAAACCTCCAGTCCTGTCAGAAAGCTGGAAGCACACGAGAGCTGCAAACTAGTTACCTGCCAGAAACCAATGCTCACAAGAGGGATATCCCTAAAAGCATCTTAGGTTTCTTTAAATGTGATCTATTATTTTCTTTTTCTTGGTTAACTTATGAGCAGTTATGGATGCATCCAAAAACAGTTCAAAACTCGGCTCCACAGAAACATGTTGTAATACTGTCATCATCAGCCTCAAGCTAACAAAGACATTTTGCAATTTTCACATATTTATAGGTTAAAACATTTTCAAGAATGTGTGTGTTGGTTTTAATTTGGGCCCATATAAAGTTTTTAAATACAAGAACACACATTGCTTTAATTGAATAATATGTTACTAATTAAATGTTTTTTTGGCTGTTTTAGATAACCCAGCTGAAGATAGAGAACAACCCGTTTGCAAAAGGCTTTCGTGGAAGTGATGACATGGAGCTGCACCGGTTGTCCAGGATGCAAAGGTAGCTATTGAAAAAGTTGTATTTATTTTATTGATTCTGGGCTCATGAATACATTGAGCCAAACGTAATGATGTCAAATGAGAAGATAGATGTTGCTGGGATCACTGACATCCTCGTCACGATGTCACTTTACAAGCCCCACTCTAAAGTTATCCTTCAATCACCCAAATGCAAGCTAGTTATGGGTGTTATTTTCAGTGATGTAAGTGTAGCTCTTGACCCTCGGCCAGTTTTCACGCTCAAGACTTTTATGGCTGATCTGGCAGAACCTCTGACACACGAATGTAACATCTCCCTTCCACACAGCTCTTTATACCAGGATGTTCCATGTGTGTGTGTGTGTGTGTGTGTGTGTGTGTGTGTGTGTGTGTGTGTGTGTGTGTGTGTGTGTGTGTGTGTGTGTGTGTGTGTGTGTGTGTGGTGCGTGCGTGCGTGCGTGCGTGCGTGCGTGCGTGCGTGCGTGCGTGCGTGCCGTGCGTGCGTGCGTGCGTGCGTGCGTGCGTGCGTGCGTGCGTGCGTGCGTGCGTGCGTGTGTGTGTGTGTGTAACTGGTAGTCCAGCAGCCAAGGCAATACTCAACCACATAGCTCTCTCTCTATTATTCAGTCCAGATGAGGGATGGAGCGTGCATGCAAAACACATTTTCAAAGGAGAATATCTGCTTTTGAACATCACGGTCCACGCACCAAACACCCCCATTCTTTGGGCAGCTGATATACTTTTCTGTATTTAAATGTATAACTTGAAATCAGAGACCAGAGCAACAGAATAGAGTCCTTATTGAATTAAGCGTTTCAGATTAATGTAATTGTTCTTGCTTTAGAGAAAATACCTGGACAGAATCCTGTGCTTTTTAAGAAATGTCACACTTGAAAATATCAAACAAATATTAAGTAACTGGAAGTAGGTGGGTGTCATAATGTACTCCAACATTTTGAGTGAAATGCATTTCACCTATCAAAACTTGCAAATGTGCAGAGCATGGGTGAGAGTCCAAACCACACCATCAATCAAAGCTGCCCGTGTCCAATCCTACTGAGTACAGTAAACCATGCACGTCTGCTCTGAGTTACAATGTTGAAGGGAGAGCTTATTGCAAAACCTGGTCACTGTTTCAACTGAGAAGATTCCTGAAATCAAAGAGCCAATGTCGCAAAATGATCTATTGACGGATCCTGTGGATTAATAGGAGTGAATATATGCTGGGGATTTTACTGGGAAGGGTTTCCCTGGAGGAGCCCTCTGTGTGTGTCCTAAATTGGTGTGATTCACAGATGGTGAATGTTGTTTATTGGCTTTGAGAGAAGATAATTACAATACATCTAATTCATATTGTTTATTTGTTTTAAATACACTTTTGCAATGCTTTCGGGGTTCCACCCAACTAACAATTGTATTGGTGTGTGTTTTTTTGCACTTAGTACCAAGGAGTATCCAGTAGTGCCACGCAGTGCAGTGCGTCAGAGGGTGGGCTCCAGCCAGAGCCCGTTCAGCGGGGAGGTCCAGGGCCTGGCCACCCCGAGCACCCTGAGCTCCCAGTACTCCCAGTGTGAGAGCGGGGTGACGAGCACCTCGCAGGACCTGCTGCCTCAGTCAGGCTCCTACCCTCTGCCTCATGAGCACGGCCCGGAGTACCACTGCATCAAGAGGAAAGGTAGGAGACAGCAAAACACATCTTTACTGCAGTCAGTATCTGTGTTAATTGATCTTAACAAGTTAAATTGCAGCAGTCTTTGCCCCTTGCAAGCTGCACCCTTTTTTTTATTGGGTAAAAACTCCGATGCGTAACAGAAAAATAGTTCTGTAAATTCAACCCATATCATCAGTGAGAAAGTAAGAGCATCTATATATAGATATTTTGTCATGTAGATTATGGCCACTTTCCCACAGTTTTTCTACAAAGTTAAACAAAATGTGTATTTATTTATTTATTTGTTGTATGAAAGAATAAACATGCCTGATCTCAAACTGTGTATGTTAATATACAAGTAAATGTTTATTTGAAATTGTTTATTTGCATAATGAGCATTTCATGCGGATTAGGGGAAAGTGATAGTTTGTTTGGTGTTAGTTAATGGGAATTTGAGATTGAGTTTGCATAATTCCAGAAATGTGTTTGACATGGATTGACCTCAGATTTGTAAACGTAATGATAACTCTTGAGTAACACTGTCCTTAACTCTGTAATTCTTCCTGCAGTGGAGGATGACTGCCACTCAGGTGAGCACAGCTATAAGAAGGCCTATCCGGAGAGCTCGTCCAGTGAGGAGGACCATTACTACCGTCCCGTTGGCTACCCCCAGGGCCTCGGCCTGGCGGGCGGGCCCTACCGCAGCGAGTCTAGCCAGCGGCAGGCCTGTATGTACGCCAGCGCCTCACAGGGGGCTGAGCCAGTTCCTAGTTTGGAGGACATCAGCTGCAACACATGGGCCAGCGTTTCACCCTATGGGAGCTGCTCTGTCACCACCATGCAGCCAATGGACCGGCTGCCCTACCAGCACTTCTCCGCCCACTTCACCTCAGGGTCTCTGGTGTCCAGACTTGGCGGGGTAGGGGGCCACGCCTCTCCGCAGCTGGGCGATGGCCACCACCCTGCCATGTACCAGAGCTCCATGACCCACCAGACTCTGGGCCGCCAGTGCAGTCCTGGGGCTGGGATCCAGTCTCCAGCAGCGGGCCTACAGGGAAACGAGTACCTCTACACACACGGCATACCACGTACACTATCACCACACCAGTACCACACTGTGCACAGTGTCAGCATCATGCCAGAGTGGAATGAGAACAGCTAAAAGAGCTTTTATACACACTTAGATATCAATATTACAAAGGAAAAGAAACTAAGAAGGACCAAAATAAGGCATGGTTTAGATGAAGGTATATTTATATTTTTAGAGGATTTGTTGCTGATCATCTTAATTAGATCAGTGTTGGTTCACTGACGACAATGGATATTGGTGAGATGGTGTTGAAGTAGGAAAGCAAGCATCTTATCACTTATGTTGTTGTGACAGAATCTGCACTTATGAACAAATATCATGAACATGAACAAAGAGGAGCTGGACCAGAACATAACTGCGCAAGTGCAGAGAAAGTGAACACCGTGGGAATCAAACACTGATCAGAAGAATAAAACTGCTTCAGATGCAAAGCTAGAGGTCCCCGTTTCACGGTGTTCATTAGCTGTGTTGTTTCTTGGATGTACAAGACTCTTGTTTTGTATTCATGTTCCAAAACTGTCTAAAAAAATAGAAAGAAGGAAAAAAAGGATATTTGTCTACTGCCACATTATCCAGAGTTCTCATTTTCTTTTAAGTTTAACAACGTACTTTGTAGTTTAAAAAGGAAAAAGCAGATGGGAGTTTTTGTTGTGGCTCTTTGTTGGGTTTGCTTGCTCTTAAATATGTCCTGTTGCTGGGTACATTTACATGAACATCAAGAATTTGGCGTGAATGCCGTTATGAGACACATGACCATAAAAATCACAAGTAAGACAGCACTTCCATTAAATAGTTTATTCAGACATTTTGTGCAGACACCCTTTCTTAATGTTTAAACTGGCCACAAGCACATTTATAACCAAGCACTAATGAGCTATAAGATGAAGCAATGTCACATTAAAGAATAGATCTGGATTTTTAACCTGGACCTTAGTTTTCCAGTTTTTGTCATCATATCCGCAACTAAATTAGCTATCTGAAATCGTGATAAAAAATGTATTTTCACATTGTAACGTGACCTGCCTACAGCAACTCCTATTAACCTCCAGGTATATTACTAATACAATAACGCCCATTTAAAAAAATTCTTTTTGGTTGATTTGAGATTGATACGTACATATTACTTTTGGATGTGTACATTTCAACAAGTACACAAAAATGTTGCAGCAGATATTGTCTTGTTCCTCCAAAATGGAAGGACATTTGACTTTAGACTCATCATATGTCCAGAAACACTAGAGTTTCTCTGCGTCTTCTGGATGTGAAACAAGGCAATTGGTTGCTATCGCAGTAGACTTTATAAGGTGGTAATGTGTCAGAGCTTTGGGTTTGTCACCTTGTTGTGGTGTTCTTCTGCCCTCAAGTGGCCAACAAATCATTAATGCAGCTTTAATTGTTGTAATTATGTGATCACCGCTACATAAAGATTAGCAATTGGAGCGTGGTTGCCATTAAGTTGAATGGGAATGTCTTTCAGTTTGGGTCAAGATGTTTTTTACTGCCACTATAAATCCTCTGTTTCAGCTGCCGAACATCATATCAGTTTTTTTAGAGCTTTTGGTACTTTGCATTACAGTATAGCGAGAATTTATTGAAATGGGGAACATCTAACATAAGTAATAAGTCGTAGAGTACAGGCTTATGACATTGTGTCATCAAAAGTAATATGGAAAAATGACACTACTTGTATTTTCTTACAGCCATTGTTCGAATCTACAAAAAAATGATTGCACTCAACAAATAGTCAACAAAAATAAAAAAAGACATGGGGTTTTTATTACCGGCAATGATTTGACTAATGCAACACATTAAAATGATTATGTTGCAATCACAAGCAACACATGTGGTTTCAACTTAGTGTGTGTGTGATCTCTGTGGTTAATCCATGCAATTATCTTTGACCTTTTCAAGAAAATCTGTTCTGAGTTTCAAAAATATATATATTTTATTTGATAAAACACTCAATTGACAACTGACATCTTTGCAGTATTACATTAAAAAAAAATGTGCATGTAAAATAATATAAATATCAATCTCTCTTTATGACATAACAACCATGTTCCAATTGTTTGTTTCATTTCGTACCATGCTTTGATTGTGTGTGCTCTAAAATAATTGTAATCATCCCCAAAATGGCACTCTGACAATCAAACTAATTCATTATGCGTCACACAGAATGTCAATATGAAAATGCAAACATGTATTTGATACACATTATGAAGCAATGGGCAGTCTCACCAAACAAATGAGTGTATGTTAGAGGTATGTTTTACATGTGGAAAAAGGCAGATGTTTTATTGCATATAGTTGAAAGAATACTATTTATTGATAGTGTGTCAACTATGTCAATCAGCTTGCTCCTGAATGTATCAAAGATAGATGGTCCACTTTCTTTTTTTAAGCCTGTTTTTTATGATTGTTTATAGGATTTTCTAATCATACTTAAATAGAAATCAGGAGATTACTATACAGCTGTCAATATAAGATTGAAACACATGGATAACATTGTAAATACAAATGTACATAACAGAATACCTGCAATAAATTTAAAAAAAATTAAAGTGGCGTTCATTTGTCTGTTTACGCTGAATTCTGCTTATCCTTCCCAAAAAAAAACAGTTTGAGTTTGCAGGGCATTTACCGTAATTTGTGTCTGTAAACCAAACATGAGACACGGACTCCGCAGGACAAGATTATAGCATCAGATAAATGCAGTTGTTCGACACAAGTAATTACACTGCATGGCTCCCAGCATCCCTTTACCCTGTAGATAATCCAAGGGAATAAATGTCTGCTGTCTAGAAACAGTTGGTTGCAAGTTCAAGCTCTTTTACTAAACCAGGCACTGTTTATTAGGCCAATAGCTGAGTAGCCAACTACAGTAGATGTGATAGTTATCTCATCATGACTGTTTCTGTGGCATCCGTGGTCTTTAATGCGGATTTAACAAGAAAGCAACGTGCTGTGTCGCCACACAGAGTGGACAGGGGTGCTTTCAGTCACCAGTGAGGAGAGCACCTTCTCTTATGAGAGCTACTGATAGTTCTATGTGAAAATGTAGAAAGCTAAAGATGTGTTCCTACATTTACTGATCAACTTCAGTGGTGCAACATGCTACCATAAAATGATTTACCAACAACTAATTATCTTTCTTCTAAAGTGCAGTCAAACCAGATTGTGACGGTTGACATGTACTTCAGGCTTGTATGGACAGACAACATGAACTGCAGGGGCTAGCATAGCCAGCAGGCTGACAACAGCAGTATGAAAAGTTGTAAATTGAACAATTTATTATCAAACACATAATTGTACTCAATCCTATCAGTGTCTTTCAGCTCATTAAAGCCAAACTGTATCCCTATTTTCTTATTACGATGCGAGTATAGTGAAGTGTTGGGTATCACAACTCAGGTCATTTTTTGTGAACTATTTCTCTTGTGCAGTTTGAGGGTTAAATTAAAGTATATGGTGTAACAAAACAAAACAAAAATTCACCCCAGTAAGAAAACCTCCCTAACAACAATTAATGTGGTTTTACAGGGAAATGTCACCCTATAATTTACCATGCTTACAACATCATTAATCGAAACTGCATGTCATGTTTTAGAAACAGTATCATACCCTTTAAGCTCCTGTTACTCGTCCCTTATGGACATCTTTATTGATATATATTCTATTGATTGAATTAGAAAAAGCACTGTTTTTCACCCCATCCCTTGAACCTCACAATTTCCTAGTTTCTCTTCTGTCTTTCCCTGTCTCGACCCATCCCCTTTCCATCTTCATCTTTTTTACTCCCCATGATCCTGTTCCCAATCCCTCCAACCTCCCCTACTCTCTCCCCACCACCCCATGGCCAAACACAGTGACCTAGACTCCCAACCTCCTTTGATGTGAGCGATGTGACCCTTGCGCTCCAGATGCCCCTGTACCGCCAGTCTTATCCTCTCCAAGAGCCGGCACAGCCCACAGAGAGGGCCGGTCATTAACCCCGCACAACCCGGGCCTCCCTACTGCTTAAACACATGATGTATCACAACACCCACCCCCATATATCCCCTGATTCACCCAAACATGCATGTGTGGGCGAGGAACGATGATGCAATAGGCTCTTTAAACATTTAAAGAACGGGTCAGCGTTTCAAAGGGAGGTGCTGGAACCTTTGGCCACTGCTTCAGTTATCATGGCCAGTGGTTGAAAGTCTTGTGATATGTCAGAAGGAAAACAAATGAATGTCTAATGAATAGAAAGCCTGGATGATGAATTAAACTTCTCGCTGGAGCACTGCAGGTTTATTTGGATTATGAATGTATATATTTGCCATACCTGTGCTGATAGGGTTAGATAGGATGAAACGTTTTTATCTGCTAACTGATTGAATAAGATGAAATGTAAGAACAATAGTAGGAGAAGTGTTTATTATAATATGTTATAAGAGTACGCACATTGGAACAGCACTGAAATCCTTCCAGTTCACCCTACGTCTTTTTGTTACTTCAGCAGAAAGAAAATTAAAACAAGTCATCTTAGAGTAATGATGAGTCATGGCCCCAGTCAACCTTAAATCTGAAACCTAAACAAATCATAGTCTGGGTGCCCCACATGACAAAGGAGAAGAGTGCAAGAACAAGAGCATTCCTAAGGGTAGAAAAACGAGGGAGGGGATTACTTTATTAAGATGTACTGAAACATCCAACAACAGATGGATGAGCGTTGTGAACAAAGGGGGGTTTTCAGAGAATCAAATGCATCTTGTGCAGGAGTCACAAACATGTGTTTGAAAAGTAAAACTGCTGGAACGTAAGGTCACTCAGTAGACATTTTAAAACAACTTGGGACAGGCCATCAATGTCAGGGAGCTGTATTAGCTTTAAAATCTAAACATAGAAGGGGACATTTTTGTGAGTTCTCCTAAAAGAAACAGTGTTGTTCTTCTCAATGCAACTCTAATAAAGAGGCTCCGATCTGGGCCTCAATCGACAGAGCATCTGGGCCATCCACATAAAGAGGAAAATGCAAATATTGCTCTTTCTCACAGATAAAATAAAGTCTAGCACGCTTTTCCTGGCAGATTTCCAGGGCAAATGTTTGATGCCTGACCTGAGGTTTCTGCTGAGATGGCAGTGGGGGTCAGTCTGGAATTAGGAGAGACCTCCATCAGATAACACATTTTCTGGTTCATGTAAAGACGTCCAGCATATCAACGGAGACATGCATCATCGTGATGAGGAATCTGTATCTGTGCATGGCGGACGTTTTTTTTTTTTGCCTTCTCAGCCGGCCGAGACAAGTCCTGGGATGGGAGCGCTGAAATGGGAGCACAGACCTTTCCATCTCCCTACATTCAGTCTTTCAGCACCACTCCTGGCCACAGTCCTGGAGAGAGAGTGGGAGGAGAAGGGGGAGGGCAAGGAACGACCTCCGAGAAAGGCAGACGGGGATGGTGCAGTGTTGATAGGGGGAGAACCAGGGAGTATCTCAGAGCTAGGAAGCCGTGTGCAAACAGTGAAGCAATGTATTTACAGTAGCAGGAAAGAATTTCAACTGGAACTGCTTGCTGTGCGATTTTGTAGAATTAAACTAATATCTGCCTATATAAAAGATGTCCTTTCAGTCCAAAATCCTAAAGAAATGGGTTAGCTAAAAACGACATACTTTTCTTGCCACAGGGTAAATATCAGGCCCCCTGCTATTTGTTGATATATATAAATATATAAACAATATTTTTGGACAGCTTTACTAGATCTGAATATATTTCTATTAAAATGTAGTAGGTCATATATGAACCCGTTGTTTACCCGAACATTGCAATATCTGTCTTTATGCTGATGATACCCTGTATGCCTTACCTGAAACCTGGCCTTCTCCAGGTTAGGTGTGATTTTGATGACACGTCTTTAGATGTTTAGGTAGCAATAGCTAAGATCATTTGCTAATTATAAGGTAAATGTTGATTGAACAATATCATGGCAAAAGAATAATGACACCATTGGCGTTCAGATTGGCTCCCTTAAAGCCTCGGTCTCAACATGCAATTCAGTCTGAGACCGGGTCCTATTATGTCTTTATTAATCAAAGCAGCCGGGAAAAGTTTCAAAAGTTGTTAAAAATAACCAGAGGATCATTTTTATATTGCTGATGTCATTTTGTATCTGCATAAAGGTTAGTGATTGTGTTGGTTGCAGCAGCAGAGAACCTGCCTGCGAACGAAAGGGAATGATGTCTGGTTCTATCCACGCTATTTCCTGACTGAACTGCTATACAAATACATACTAGAGGCACTTATTCCTCTATGGTAGTCCTAGAGTTCTTGCCAATATGTACAATAAAAGTTTAAGTTTTATTTTATAAGTGAATGATTAACAAACCAAACACATGGAAGAGTTTTGACACTAACAGAAAGTAGATTGAAATGGAGGTATAAAGGACGGAGAAGGGGAAAAAGTATCAATGCACCGTTGTACAAGAAACAGATGAGAAATATAGTTTTTATCACATAAAGAATATTGTGTGATTCTGGGCCAAATCGATTTACAGTTACCGAAGAGAGATCTTTCTCTGACAGGTAAAGTATGAATGTGCGGCTTTACTTATCCCTAAAGTCAGTTCAGTTGGGTGAAATATTGAATTTGACCAACTACGCTATCCAGTTTAGTGCAAAGAACACACATCTATTCATCAATTACACAATGACATGGTGGAGACGCTTTTTAATCAAAGCATGCATTAATCAGGATTTAACAGTATGTTTTCATCAAACAAAAAGGATTCACTGTCTGGCAATGACAGACCATTTTTAACCAGAAGGCTTCTCTCAACTTTAGCTCCTCATGGACGATAACCAAGAGCGAGTTAAACTATTGCTTTTTCTCAGTGAATCCATCATATCAGATTTGAATGATTGGTAACTTTGCAGAAGTCTCCATCCATCTTTGTCATGGGGAAGCCGGGCAGGGTAGACCATAAGTGTTTTAATGTCAAAGCTCGGCCCAGCTGGTAAATGGCCTCCAGCTGTCTCATCATTAGAGCTGATAAGGCACTGTTGGCTGTATGCTCCGTTCATTTCTCTCTCAGTCTGTAGGAATTACAGGTACAGACTGTAAGCACTGACGAGTAGAAAACAACCCTCTCTCTCATGCACCTGGGTAGTAGTTTACCTCATCTGGAAGACATTTAGACACGACAGTCCTTTGAGATCTTGAGCATGCTGGACTGTTTCAATCTAAACATCTCTATCTGCTTTTTTCCTGGGAGGAATGTGTTGTATGTCTTTAGCTAATGCAAAACAGAGCAAATACAACACATTAAAAAGTCATTTGGAGATCCATAAAATGACAGTCTTCTGACAGCTATTAAATGATTCAATCTTTAAAATTACTTGAAATAGTTTGCAATGCAATGTTGATGTTTTTCCATATCTCAGCAATTACCAATAGTGCAAAAGATAGATGTTATTTGTGATAAAATTGAATTATCTTGTGTTTAATTAATTTTAACTGGTCAAATCTGCCTAGTGTTTAATGCAATGCAT